TATATATATATATATATATATATATATATATATATACACTCAGGTTCTTCATAAGTTCTGTTAAATAATGCCTGAAAAATCTGATCTAATCTTTGTTTTGCCGTAATACACTTCCAGTTTAGTCAGGGAAAATTAAATACTGCTTGCTAGTATGATTTAGCAAAGCAAAGAATCAGTGAAAGCCTCTTTTTTTTTAGGTACCTTTACTGGCAAAACTATGGTCATGTATAAATGAAGTTTTTTTTTCAATTCTAATATTATGTTTGGTGGTTGCTTAGATGTTTTAGAAGGTACAGAGTGATAAAAGTACTGTGAATGACATAAGGATGAAAGTATCCTCAATGGCATACATATAACTCTCTAAATTACATCAATACTGTAATACAAAAGATTTGAGGACAAATCACCTTTGAACCAAATCAAATTTTCTCAAAACTAAAAACAGGTGAAATAATTACCTGCTCTAGGTTTTCAATTCTTTGTTTAAGAATCCTGTTTTCTACCCGTATCTTCTGTAAAAGATGTATTGTCACATTTTATGTTTCATCAAAACTTTAATTAATCCAAGTTTCCTATTCCTTAACTTCTTTTTAGATATATAAAATGGAATAATGACATGATTAAAAATATCTGTAAAGAATAAAGAGTTTGACTTCTTTATGAAAGAGATGTTTCATATTAGTATTTTTCCTCAATACATATTAACAAATAACTTGAGGTGTATATATACATTCTTTTGTAGGACTTGTGGTAGTCAAACTTTAGATTTTTACTTGAAATAAAATTGTTTAATTCTCAGTTTATCTTTGAGTTCAACTTTACAAAATGATAGTTTATGCCTTACCCGCATTTCTGTCATTTCTTCTTGTTCCCTTGTCTTTAACGTTGAATACTCTTTTTCTAATCTGAAAAAAAAAATTTAGTCTTAATTTTTAAAAATCTAATACATTATATTATTTTTTTTGTTCTTTAGTAGTGCCCCCGAGTGACTCGGTGGTAAGCTTGAAGGTTTATATGCTAAAAATCATGTTTGATACCTGTGGTGGACACAGAACAGATAGCCCATTATGTAGCTTTTCATTCAAACCCACACAAACAAATATCTTTAACAGTGTTTTATTATATTTTATTACAAGTTACAGCTTTTACAATCAGTGAGTAAGATTTGTTTTTAGAACAGGTATGACGTTTCGATCACTGGTGCGATCATTCTCAATGAATGAATGAATGATTACACCAGTGATCACAACATCATTCTTGTTCTAAAAACAAATCTTACTTACTGTAAACGCTGTAACTTGTAATAGAATATACTTAATCAGTAAGTAAACTCTAAACGAAACTAGTGTTTTATTAGGTTGAAATATCATAATTTTATTATAATTTCAGCACAATTTTAAACCTTACTCACTTCTTCATATTTTTGATGTTGTATTTGACTTGCAAGGCCTTGTTAATTAAGTAATCTGGATCCGTTTCACACTTAGCAGGCATTTCTTTCTGAAAATACTACAGTAGTGTAAAGAAAAAAAAACTATTAAACCAGTATTTTTCTATATAGTATTCATTTAAAACCACTGAATGGTGAATATAGCAGTTTTAGAACTACATACAAAACATAATGAAGATAACAAAATACCTGCTGTAACTAAATATTCTAAACAATTAGGTAGCTCCAAGTTTTACAACATTAAAATGAATTATTATACTATAACAAAACAGTATTTTCTTATCTGTAAATTTCTTTTGTGCAACCATATTTATATATTAAAACTGTACCCACACATATTTATATTTCTGTAAATTAACCAGGTAAAAAATGCTTCTGTTTACTCTATTTTTAAAAAATTATTATAATTTAAATAAAAATCTTTCTTAATGCAGTTTTCACATATATCATTTACTTTACTTCAATGAAATCTTATAAAGACATTGCTAAGTTAGAATGTGTTTTTTATTCAAAATGTTATCCATCACAAAAGCCAAAAACACAAAAGGTCACAAAAATTTTAACATAATCTACTTTATAGCAACAATTGCAAATTTTGTTGAAAAATATGAGCATACCTTACCTTCAACATTCCTTCCATGTCTAACTGCAAGATGTCTTCTTTACAAAATTGAAGAATGGTTACAGCTATTCTGAAAATGATCTCAATTCCCTGTTAAGTATAAAAACTATAAAAATACAGTCAAGAGTATAAAACAGACATCTAAATCTTATAATATATCCGTAACCTGAAAACAGCCTCTATCTAACTGATTGAATACTAACACTAAAATAAAAGAGTCTAGGTTGCAATGAAAAATTCCTGTCAAACTGAAACAATTGGTTTACAACTAAACCACAATTACTGTATATTTAATTTATTGGCCTTATGTAATTGACAAAACTACAATCACAAGCATTTTCTGAGTTCTTGGGAGAATAGAGAAATAGGTTTGTTAAATGACAAGAAACCCTCAACTGAACAAAACTTACCTCAGACAACAGAAGGTCCATCACCCGACAGACCAGTTGAAGGGGTAATGAAGATGTGAAGAGAGTTAAGAACCAAGACGATGCATACATTGAAGTCTGAAAACTTTGAGACTGAAGATGAATGTGAACTTCTGGGAGAAGCTCCTATAGAAAAAAAAAACAGTTATGAAAAGACAAATTCTCTGTCAGATAAAAAAATGTAACAACTAAAGACAACATTTCCCAACACATGATGTTCAACACTCTCATACTTTAAAAGAAAAATTTTCTACTATATAATAATTTTTAATGTAATTCCTACTACAAAAAATAACACAGCAATTTTTAATCTAACAGAAAAGGAATTTTTAATCAAGTGTTTTAACCTTTACATGTTTAAACCAAAAATCTTCAGTTTGATATTTATTTACTTTCCTTTATAATTTGTAATAGATGACAGACCAAGTTTACGATGCGTTTGTACAAGTTTTGTTTCATATTTTTTGAATATTCTAACTAAACTATATAGTTTAAGAGGTTCAAACAAACAATCGACTTACCAAAACTACTCAAGCTAACATGAACAGCAATCATTCCTTGTCTTCACAACTTATGGGATGCAAAGTACCATTCAATAAGGAAATGATACAATAATTGATACTTTCATTCACTATTTGAAATGCACGGTACAAATGATACAAACAATGAACTTAAATAGTATGAAGTAGTTGTTAAAAAGTGTCTTACTTCTGTAAGTGCTAGAGGTTTAGCCATTTAGCTTAGTTGGCAGTGCATTTGCCTGATGTGAAAGAGGTCTCTGGTCCAAACTGAGGTGAGAAACTATATCACAAAAAATAAATTACTACATTGGTGCCCAATGTGGGGCTGAGCTCTGTGTATATGGACTACATGTGTTCATGTATAACCAGCCCATAACATGATCCCTACTACCTTCAAACTTTGGTGATGCAGGAATCCTTTACTCCCAAACTTGACCATTACCTGAGCTGCCTCTGAGATCATTGTGTGCCCAGCATGGCCAGGTGGATAAGGCGCTTGACTCGCAATCTGAGGGTCGAGGGTTCGAATCCCCGTCCCACCAAACATGCTCGCTCTTTCAGCCGTGGGGGTGTTATAATGTGATGGTCAATCCCATTATTCGTTGGTAAAAGAGTAGCCCAAGAGTTGGCGGTGGGTGGTGATGACTAGCTGTCTTCCTTCTAGTCTTACACTGCTAACTTAGGGACGGCTAGCACAGATAGCCCTCGTGTAGCTTTGAGCGAAATCAAAAAACAAACAAACAACCGTTCTTAGTTCATTGTAGCCACAACAATGGTCTGCAGCTATTCTGTACCCCCTTGGTTGTTTACTAGCTACCAGAGCCTGGAACTAGTCAGAAAGAAATGGAGTATCCAAACTAAATCAAATCAAAGTCAGAAATTTAGGGGTGGAGGATTTCCCCAAGGATTTTCAGGAACTGGGGTCCTTCTTCATCCACCCTAGAAGTTTGTGTGATGGGAATGAATTAGGGATTTTAAGTCATATGAGAGATTGGGTTATCAGGGGTGTTTGTGTGAAAAAGAAAATAAAAATTTTGGTAATTAGTGGAAATGTTAGGTAGAGTGTCAAGATGATGCTGAGAACAAGGCCGTATTCACAGTATTGGGTGCCAACCAAATTTGTCTTACTCTGAGAATTCATTATAACCCACGTTTCCTTTCTCTGGCAACTTCCGTCAGCAACAAACTCCATTGGAGACAAGAATAGCCACCTCTCTTGGAGGTGTCATATTTTACCCTCAGCATCACAGCCTACATTTTCATGTACAACTGGGCTTCTTGTGATTTATGTTAAGATCATACCTAGAAAACTGAGTTCTTAAAAATATTTCAATACGCTGATCCAAATAATTTCACATACCAAATAAAACATCGGGTTGCCCCAAGTTTAATTTTATCATGACCATACTTCAGAGATAATTTCAACGTGATGGTCTATTTATTCAACCTGTCAGTGTGTGGGTAATGTGGTGGGCAGAGCACAGATAGCCCATTATGTAGCTTTGTGTTTAACTGCAAACAAACAAACAAATTTACAAATTACTTTATCAACATGTATATGTGAAATTCTTCCCTAAAGTAAAAATCCAAAACAAACAAACAACAAAAAAAAACTGCCAGGAAACATTTAAACATTGTGTCAAAACATTTCCGGGCAATTTTTTTTTACATATTTCTGAAATTACCAGAATGTCGCAGAAATGTACACCAAAAACCCTTAACACTTCTGTATGGATATTTCTTTTTTTCTCCTGTGGCTGGGAAGTGAGTACTCCCACTAAAACAAATCTGCCCCGGTGGTTGATGTATTAAATCCAATCCCCCTATGCCAAACACTTATAAAACACTGTGAAAAACAACAACAGATTTTCATGCAAGTATAGCAATAGATCGTTTTACTTTCACCTCTTTTGTAAAATATCATTACCTGTGGAAAGATTTAGTGTAAAAGCTAAAAGATTCATAATCCTGTATTAAACGAAACATTAGCCCTTCGTTTGCGTCTTGTGTAAATCTGCCTACCACCCCATGAGCAAAGATTCGCACATTTTTGCGGTGGACCCTTCAAAATGTTGCGCGCAAAATGCTTGCATCATAGGATGTCAATCGCAGTTGAAGGGTTAATCAATCTACTTGCTTCTTCGATTAACAGTTAACTTCATACACAGTCTTAACACCTTAATTCTCCAACAATCGAAATTACAATTAAATCACTCCCAGTTTCAGCTCCCCCTTTTTTTGGGGGGGGTAGTGTAAATAGTGTGTGTGGGGGGGGCACCATACGGTGATATGGATTTACAGGAAAAGTCATGTAGCACAATTTAAATCGATACTAATATCTTAAACCCCTTCCAGGAATAATAATATCAGCTGACGAACAATTAATCAGAAACTCCCTTGTCAATACAGTTATCAAAAGCCCACTTTAGTTAAACGTAATCTTCATAAGCGGGGTGGATATTAATATCCCTGAACACTACAGATGAGGAACGTTTTTTTCCTTTTAAAACTAAACACCTGCCACGAATATAAAAAAAGTAATGTTACAAATGTTTGTCCCACTCTAGTTGTACTTCTTAACAACAACAAAAAAATCTTACGATTTTTAAAATTTGATATAATGATTTTTTTTAAACCGCTAAGAAGAGTGAACTTGGTTGGGCCAGTGAAAGTTGTAGGTGCACAGCCCGGAATTAAATCTAATTGTCACGAAAATAATCAACTAATTATTTTTAGGGTTTCTGATTTTTACTGTTTTCAATTATTCCAACTATCCAAATATTGGAAATATTGCCACCAGACTTGCTCGTCCTGTCGTTGTTATGGCAACCACTGTCACTAATTTTGAACCATCAAACATTTTTTTTTTTTTAATTACTGACTAGAGAGAAGGAAACTGGCTGGTAGCACCCATTACCAACCTTGTACCATAGTTTGAGGGTCGCTGTACTAATTGATTAATTGAGTGTACTTAGTTAATGGGGCCGTCGGTTAATTCATTAGCAAATACCACAAACCGCCTAACTCTAACGTTCACTAGTAGTTACTGGCACATTGTGCTATAACCATAGTAACCCACTCAGGCAACTTCTGTATGTGAGTTGTCACGACAGTTACGGTCTGGTAATGTGCTGTCACCTGTGAGAGGTGAGACTCGACAGATTTTTCCGGCTTACGAAAATACCTCCTGGCAGAATTTATTTGAACTACGGTTCAACCAAAATTCGATTCATAAGTATTAAAAGTTTTCGTTCTGCTTTGCTTATTGTGCAAAAGTTACACCCATACTAGAGCCTGTGCTTTTTCGATAACCTCACACTTTGTTCAGATAAACTGCTGCTTCTCCGATAAGGATGGTCATTGGCATACCAACCGAAAACCATCCTGACTATCTTACAGTACCACTCAGAAGCTCGAAAAGCAAGGGTTACTAAGCTCTTATAGTCATTGGTGGTACAACCAAAGACCATCCTAGTTGTTACAGGAGATACACCACAGCTGTTAAAAGGAACTAGTGATTTTCTGATAAGGGTGCTAAACCCTTATATTCATTGGTGATACAAACAATGGTCATCTTAGCTGCTACAGGAGAGACACCACAGCTGTTAAAAGGAACTAGTGCTAAGCCCTTATAGTCATTGGTGGTACAACCAATGACCATCGTAGTTGTTGCAGCAGATACACCACAGCTGTTAAAAATAATTAATGCTTCTCTGATAAGGGTGCACAGATGAAATTCTGTAGAAGGTTCACAAAAGGCACCATTACTCAAGAGTATACAGAAGAAACCCCCGCAACAGATTCAGAAGAACTACAACTACACTGATAAGAGTGGAATATGGCAGATACTGCACAGCAGGTTTAGATGAACCAATACCACTCCAATAAACAAGATTGGGCATCTTCCTTTTCAGTCATCAAATTTTCAACCAAATGACCATCCTAGCTCGTATGATTTATTAGTAACAGTCACAAGATGTAGCCCGTACATTCTGCCAAACAGCACTGCTCGATGACTCAAAAAGCAAAGGTCGTGACACCCTTTCGGTCAGCAATCCTTCGACTACATGCTCATTCTAGCTTGTGGCAACTAGTTTCAATCCCAGCCATACCGACGAGGATGTTGTCATTGGTGTCTCGGCCTTCCCTCCCCATCATCTCTTCAGGTGTCTCCTCAAACTTAGCAAAGAAAGCCAGGTAAGTACTTGTATCTTCCTCTTAATCATCATCATCAGCTAAGCTGACATGCTCAATGACAGCCTCATTGGGTTCAACCTCCAACATCTCGGCCGACCAAGGTACTAGAAGTTATTTCTTAATATATGGTCGCAGATAGTACATGTGTTAGATATGCTTGCACACTTCCCAGTAATGGAGGATCTTATAAGTCAGAGTTCCAACTTGTTTAAGTGCTTGGTGGAGACCAGTCCAGCCACAGTCAAGTGTTTTATGTGCTGTAGATACATACTACTGTCACACACACTCTGTGGGCTGGAAGCTCCTCTCCCTGACTGTCTTATCATAGCACTGTTTTTAGCAGATGGCTGCCTAACCTAGTTCCCAGCGCTCATGCTCGTGCACGTCTGCCATGATTGTTCTCAACCATTCTACAAATGCCAGAGGGCATTTTGTTGCTTCATGACTAGGAAGTGGGCCATGCGTCACGCCCATAGTGAGGAGCGTTGTTTCGTGCCCCAACATTAGGCAAGCAAACTTTCAATCTCTACTTAGTTACACCTTACGTCATCATGATGTATCGCAGGCGCTCTTCCCAGTCGGTTCTACAAGGTTCACAAACTATCAAAGTATCCTCTTGATCACCAATTTGGCCTTCAAGCATAACTACATTCTTCCCCCTTTTTAAAAAAAAATAAGGCCCATCCTTAAGCCTAATTCCAGGATCGTGGGATGGCCACTAGTTTGGCGACAATAGTTTTGTTTTTTTTCAATATATTTTATATTTCCTCTACTGGGAATTGAGCCTGAGACCTGTCACGTATCAGAAGAGTGATCTATCAACTGAACTAAATGGTTAACTCACTAGTGCTTGCTAGTAAGTCACTTTTTTAACTACTCAAACTACTACAAGTGCACTCCAGCTGATACGTTCATCTTAACTACAGAATGTATCTAACCAGCAGATACTTTCAAATAGAGCTGACGATAACTTAACCGGTACCCTAGGCAGAAACTAAGGCTGTGCCGTTACTCACACTGAAGCCCACAAGTACTGGGAATTTAATGTCCTACAACTATGTTTGCCTATCCTTAGCCCGCTTTCAGTTTTCCTACCTGGACTTTATACTCTAACTAATACATATATCACACCTGGATAACTAACACTAGCTGATATATACAATTATCCAGTGTCATTGCTGAAACACCTACTAATTTTACCCTTTCATAAATAGTTTAGAATATATCTTTATTCAGGCATATTTTTCTAAATTGTTCTGCATGACAACTTACAAATCTTCGAGGCGATTTCACAAAACGAACAGCATTTCAAATGCTTATAAACGTACTAATCCGTTTGGTTAGTTAAAGGTTACATATGGCAATGAACAGAATACACTTTGGATCTGTGGCTGTGTCCACTCCCTGGAGGAGTACACCCCCCAGGTTTGACACATATACAGATTGATGTGAGATGGGGGGTGGTATCCCCTGGATGTAATAATCGCAATAGTCGTTTACAGATGCAACTTGGGATTATAGTATACCGCCACACTTGGACCCCTTGTCTGAATAGAGAGTGTGAAAAGGTATAATTATTTCTGTCCTTGTCTTATCCAAACTCGTGTATATATAGAACCTCTCCAGCTCAGCAACCAGTTAGAACATAGGCGATTCAGAAACGGGTCAGACTGGTAAATAAATATTTATACTGATTGTGAATAAACATCTGTTTAATTGGTTCACATGCGTTCGTTTCTTCTTTGCTGTCCAAGTTCGAAATTATTCTGTGCAGTGCATTTATAGAGCCTGAATTCTTGACAATATATTAAACTTATCTGTCCGACATCCTACGTATATATATAACTCTTTCCTAGGTAACATAATTCACCTGATACACACAATCATCATATCTCTACCGTATACAACAGTTAAACAATCACGTCCTACCAGAACCACACACTTCATCACGTATATAGTATAACCTGGTCTACACACTTTATCTGATGTATAACTAAGTATTTTCTCATCTTACTTGCACTATACATTCCAGCTGATACATGTATAGCCCTAATTCTGCCATGTATGGTTTGTACATTTCTCGTAATCGGTAGTCATCCATGAGTCTCACCAAGACAGCGAATGCTTCTTCTTCTGGCATCTGCAAATAAAACAACTTTACGATTACAAAAAATAACTGAACATTTCACTAAAGCTCTGCTAACAAATTTCAACAGTAAAAAATATTCGGAAATTGTGTTATTTTTATTGTTATTGTTACTCCTTCGTTATTTAATTCAGCTTTACAATTTAAGCTTGGCCCTGCATGGCTAGGTGGTTAGGGCGCTCGACTCACAATGTGAGGGTCGCGGGTTCGAATCCCCGTCACACCAAACATGCTCACCCTTTCAGCCGTGGGGGCGTTATAATGTGACGTTCAATCCCACTCTTCGTTGGTAAATGAGAAGCTCAAGAGTTGGCGGTGGGTGGTGATGACTAGCTGCCTTCCCTCTAGTCTTACACTGCTAAATTAGGGACGGCTAGCGCAGATAGCCCTCGTGTAGCTTTGCGCGAAATTCAAAAACAAACAAACAAACAATTTAAGCTAAATTGTATGTGCAATTTACATATTGCATACTTAGTCTATAAGTGCCACTGCTATTTGTAAACTGACAAATCGGCTCAGGTATACGTTTGTTGATTATTAAATGTGCGTGATAACTGATTGTCTTCTCTTCGTTTCATTAAATCGCCTCGAAGATTTATAAATCGATATGTAGATCTATCAACAGCATGTACATGTAGAAAATAAACATGCCATTCATTAAAACGAGATGTATATTTGTAAATTGTCGTGCTTTTCATAAACAGACGTGTAGGTTTAATGAAACGGAGGTTAGATTGTAAATTATCATGCATTTTAATAAATTAAAAAGTATATTTCTCAAACAACTTGTCAATTTACAATCCGATATGCACTTAGAAATAACAGAGTCAAGAGAATTGTGCATGAATTGTTTGTTTTAAATAAAGCTA